ATAATGAGGCAAAAAGCACACTTTCGTCGCATAGATAAAACCAGTTAGAACACATACGATACTGTAGTTATTTCGATACATTTTCAACAAGATCGGACCTAGTCTGTTGTTGTTGTTATTGTTGTTGTGTTTACTTGACCAAGCATTGCAAGAATCGTATAGAAACTTTAAGTCTGTTAAAGCTTTGATAAGACCAGTTTATATTTAAACCAACCCAAATGATTTTTCTGCAAAACGTTTCAACAAGATCGGACATACTAGTAACCTGTTGTTGTTGTTGTTGTGTTCACTTGACCAAGCTTTGGACGAGACGTAGAGAAACGTTAATTCTGCCAAAGATTTAATAAGACCAGTTTAAATATAAACCAAACCAATGGATCTTTCTATAAAAAACGTTTGAAATGATATATGGCATGACATGACAAAAGGAGACATATTGTAAGCGGTCTGGTGGTAAAATCACCATTTAATGCATCAGCACTGTAATTATGACATTGCCATGCTATTATCCCTGCAACTAAAACGGTGCTCCCTGCTATCCCCACACTTCCCCTGGGGATGAGGTGGGGGCTGTGGTTACCAATGACATTACCAGGTAAAAACAAAGTTCTGAAAAACGTCAATGGTTGCTAAAGTGCAAAGTGTGTTACAAAATAATAATAAACAAACTTCTACTGTCGTTTATTCATTGTGGTCCTTAAGATATTGAGTATCACAAAGTTTATATACGAAATCTCGTATATCACAGAAAATGCACAAATGAGCCGCGTCATGACAAAACACACATAGTGCATTTGCGACCAGCATGGATCCAGACCAGCCTGCGCATCCGCGCAGTCTGATCAGGATCCATGCAGTTCGATCGCTTACCAACTCTATTACAAGTGGAGGAACTGACACTGAACAGCATGGATCCTAATCAGACTGCGTGGATGCGCAGGCTGGTCTGGATCCATGCTGGTCGCAAACGCACTATGTTGGTTTTGCCGTGGCGCGGCTCAACTGCAAACTTAAAATGAATATGATACATAAATTCCAATTGAAAAAGTAAATAAAAACACAAAACAAGCGGCCAAATACGAATAAAATAGATTAAATCTGAACTGAGTTGAAAAGATATTGTTTTATAATAACACTGAGGGACTTAAGATATCTTATGTTTTAAGGAAACTTATTCCACAAAGCATATAAACGAATGATTTTAAGCAAAACCTAGATCCCTCGAAATACAGTAGCGACCACTGTACTCGAGTGATCACTTGAAATTGAAGACCTAACCCTAAATCTCGTGCTACAATTGTGAACAGAAAATGCTGGAATGAAATATTCACTCCAATAAGGGGGAATTCTCTAGAATGAATTTCGAACATATGACATAACATATGACATAGACTTTCAAAGTCTATACTCTTTTTTCAACCGATAACCATTTAACAAATGAAAATAGATCTTAACCAATATGAGATTAAGATAAGATTTTATTATATACTTTGAAATGAAATATTGAGAAATATTGATGAAATAAAATGTGTATTTTCATTTTCCGTATTTTCACTGTAAAAATTTATTTTTCACTGCAGTGAAACATATTTTCCGTATTTTCACTGGTGTCTTGCCGGACTACTTTCTTTTAAATCATGTATTTATAGAAAAAACTTGAATATCCTCTATTTATATAAAAATATTTTTGGCAAAACAAATGTATATTATTCTTATTATCTTATTTATTTCTTGACGCCGCAAAGCCTACATGCATTAAACAGGAAGACAACATTAAAACAAGATAGTACACAATTCCCAGTGTTGCGAAAGATTACTAGTATCACAACATTTGTTGCAAGCAGTTGTTCGGCTGTTATGTAAACAAAATGTAAAAGAAATAAATGAAGAAAAAAAAAAGACTTAGATAATTACTGTCTTGATGTTAGATAAATTGTAATGGGATGAACGGGTTTATTTTGAAATTAAGGCGGAACACATGAAGAACACATAACAGTTGAGCTTATAAGCCTTTGTTTTACAGTGAGCTGAATTTATTTACCTACAGAAATAGATAACATGTAGGCAAACTAACGGTGTTGGAGAGTAACGCTTCTATGAAATACCCTTAAGATATTTTCGTAGAACTTTCCATTAATAACAGGGAGTGCCCATATTAAAATAAATATATATATATAAATCAGTATTTAGGTAGACAGATACATTTCCCACTTTCGATACTTTGTTAAATCTAATTGGTGTAAAGAGTATAACAATTCCAGGAAAGTGAAATCGTATACAACTATCCGGTGTATAAATATTGATATTGTCTTACAGTTGCAAATGAAGGCATTTCAAATTTGTTTCTAAAATGCTGGCATGAATCGACTTTTAGTTATAAAAATTGAATGGTAAGCGATTGATAAGACATTTTCATATCTTTGAAAGCCGAAAATACAGACATTCTGAAAAAATCAGTTTTTAACTATTATCATTCAATAACAAATACAAATATCGGCTATTTGCGTTAAGTTTTACGATTAAAAACTATTTTTGTCTCAATATTTCAACTAGAGAGTTAACAGACATGCTATTGGTTGAAATATTGGTTCAATGAAGCGGTATTATTGATAATGTTCAAGGTTGTACAGATGAAAGGAAAGATAACAGCATATTAACGTCTATCACAAAATTTGGGAATAAAACTGACACTTAGAAATTTGATTTATAGGTCTACTGGCATAAATAATTTGCCACGAATAAAAATGAAAATGTAATATTTTAAAACAATACCTTCCTCAAGAAAATGAAAGAATCTAATAATCCATATGGACTTGTATTATTTGTATGGAATATCTAATTCGAGCTTTAATAAAGCCATGCGTTTTGTTTTGTTTTTGAGATTTTTTTCTGAGTCTTCAAATTATTCATTTAGACATTTAACATGTATGTCTACCTAATTTGACTGTTGGAAACAAAGGAAAATAAAATGAAAACAATAGCACTATTGTAATATTATATCATTGAGAGGAAAAATGAAATAAAATACATGCCAGCCACTTTAATATGCTATTCATTTATTTCGTCTGACTGTTGACTTGTTTCATTCGCAAAGTATGTATGTCAAGTTATTAGAGCATTAGTTTGTTGTAAGAACAAGTTGAACGTATAATATACGTGCGTATTAAGGGTGGGGATAAGTCCTCCTCTGGGATTTGGTCATCATGTTTTTAGAATATGTATGGAATATAATATTAAACCAAGAACTATGTGCGTTTTAAAGTGGTGCGGCACCACGAATCCAGTGTGATAGAAAAACGAGAGCTCTAGTTTTTGATATAATTTCTAGCTTTTCTATGTAAATACTGTAGTTTTGAACGGTATATCGTGAACGGGTATGAGCCCTCTGAAGCCCTCTGGAATATGCATTACCAATAATTGTCGAAACTTTGTGACAACCTCTGTTATTTCAGATATCATTACATTTTTAGTGAACAGTTAATTTTACGGATTGTCCCTGTAATAGTAGACTATAGACATTCTATTTTATTCCAATAGGCTTTAAAGCCCATGCGGACATAAATCATGCACAATAACGAACAGTGTATGACATAAACATATATACATAATATCAACAATCATGAAAACGTTTGGTGAAGATCAATTTTGATAGATAAAGTAAAAACCAGCCGAAATTTTCTTAAGCAGTTACATAATGAACATTTTGATATCAAAATTGATCTTTAAACCACTAACTTATATATGCATATACACATACATACACACATATACATGTACATGCATACAAAAACATACATACCATGAACCGGCAATGCAAAATTGTTGCATGTTAATTAATTTTTAATTCATAGACATATCCTAAAAAGTTGAAGGTCCCTTCGCATCAATTGCGGATTTAATAATTTTAATAAATCTTTATCATTTGGATTATTTTGAAAATTCAAAAGTCCAATTTCAAAGTGCTTTGAATATTTATATCAAGTTTAGTTGCAAAGAGACATTTGAGCTGACTTAATTGCCAACCCTTATCATACGTAAGAACTTACTGAGTTTATTTTGTTTATAGTGTGTCCACAATAACGAGAATACAAATGTAATATCAGAACTTATCAGGTACCCTTAGTTTATGATGTTCAATACAGTAAGTGTCTATTACATTATATTATTATTATTATTGATGTGTTCAATTGATATAATGTTTATAATTTTTATATACTTTTGCATATTAAACAAGTATTTATTAAAAAAAATTGCCTTACCGACTGCATAGATGTTGGTGTTAGAAATTGAGTTCACTTAACCGAACGCTACAGGTTTGTTTATCAACACATACATCTTAAAGCTATCCATTTTTTCAAGATAAATAAAATAACCCTACAAGAAAATATTATGTGATTGTTATGCAAGCTATGTTAACATTTCTGTGTGACTTTCCATGGAAAACAAAGAACTAACATAATGCAAGTTACCCAGTTTTACTTCGGCCAAGTACTAGTATTTTTTTTAAAGATACTTATTATTATCTTATGCGGTCATTCTATTTCATCTATCATATAAAAGGTTTTACATGTATTATTATCATTCCACTATTTCTTTAAGAAAATATGAACAGACTAAGCACGGTCATTGACCTTTTTTGACGTAAAATATTTGGAAAACGGTTTTTGCAAATGATATTCATATCGAAATTAAAATGTATGAATGAAGGCACCAGACATGTGTGGAAAGCGTTAAGTTAGTAGTAAATCAAAATTAATGTATTTTCTTTATATTGTTCAAGAAATGAGATATAAAATTACAAAATTATCAAATATTACTGTAATGTCAGGTGAGAAGGTTTTTATTCAGGCTAAACAGGTGTTTTCCTTCCTTTATGTTACTTTTAAAAGAATACTGCGTAGTTTGTTCATACTTTGTCTTATCTTTGCATGATCTAAATATAATGAATGTAATGGGAATATTTTCAGAACTGTCAGGATTGTGCCAAGTCTGGGTATTACCTGTTGCAATGTTTACAAAGAGAAAGGCACGTGATTGTATCGGCGCGAGACAGACTGGGTATAAAAGTGAATCGCACGTGCCGGATGTAAACAAAGAAGAATAGTGTTGTCTTCTGCAAAGGAAATTATATGGATCAGTTAAAATACCAAACATAGGTACGCATTTTAATTTGTTTAATTATTTTTTTTACAAAACTAATAAAATTTAAAGAAAATAGATTGTTAATAAAAATATAAAATGTTACATAATTATTTATGCCTTTTTATGTTCTGCACTATATCACCTTGTCTTAAGATTTTTTATTCTTAATTTGAGTCGTAAAAAGAATTAAAGGTTTTCTATTTATCAACAGGAATAGCCTCTAAATAAACTGATGTTAAAGATATAACTTTAAAGAAATGGTGAAATAAATGTAAGTAAAATGACTCAGTAACTTCTCTACTGTTCTATCTAAGTATGTAAAATTTACAATAATAGATCAGGACAGTTTATTGAAGTAATTAAATGTTAATTTTAGATGAGTTACTATTCTAAATGTCACACTCCCAGTCAAGTTTTCAATACCAATCATGTACAGTTTAATTTCACTAAAATTTAAATGGGATGTAATTTTTCATGTTTTTTTGTGGAGATATATTAACTTTAAAATATATATAAAAATTACTTCGTTCGGAATAAAGAAACACAGATCTTTTATATTTTATAAAATAAAGAGTGACAAAACACCTTTAATCATTCATTTTCAAAATCCAAGTTAAATACTTCAGATTACTAGGTCATATTAGATCTAAATAAAGTAGCATAATTAAAACCTAAATTACAGTTAATTTGTAATTGACTGATTTATTTTGACAGTTCCCAACTGTTCTCAGCTGTTCAAGTCATAAAACAAATTTATTGGAACATAAAAGTGTATTTCATTTAGAAAAAAGCGCTTTAAAATGTATTTTTCAAGTCAACTGTACTTTTCAGTAATTCAAGACATTTTCAGCATCGGCTGCAATGTCACCTTTAGAAAAATTCTCAACAAAAACAAATGGAATGAAAAACAAAAACAAAAAAACAGACGCACGTGCTATTTCGGATCTAAAAATAGAACGTAAACAAACTAGAATTTTATACTTCTGCGTAGAAAGCTCCACGCTGTTTCTGAATGATTTCTTGGCGCAAAAATAACCCAGCATCTGATAAGCACGTACTGAAATTGCAGCGTGCATGAACAAATTATCTCAGACAAAAATAGTTATCAATTAACATAGTATGGTTTATATTCATTTTATATTCCAGGAAATATGCCAAGTAACAGATCCAGTATTTCAAGTGATGTTTCGTCACTCACTTTGAGCCAGTCTGTAGCTAAAGGAGGATGTTTACCTCAAACCGCGGGTGTGCACAGACTTTCTAGTGCTAGCAAAATGGCGTCGAACCTCGGGACCGCAACTCCCGACCCTCTAACACAAAGAGCTGTGCTAGAGGGTTTGTTTGAACGACGCCTTGTGGAGGGAGAGTTTTGGTACGTAGTGGTGGCAGAATGGCTCGAGCAACTAAAGAAATATCTTGGTGTCCCGAACACGAGGAAAATGTATCACCAGCGCGTGCATCCAGGACCTATCATATCACGTAGGGACTACGCACACACCGTGGAAATGGTTCATGAAGACGCTTGGAAGTTGCTCATACAATGGTATGGAATAGCGGAAGGACATAAATCTCTTAAACTTGTTGTTTACAACTATTCACGTGCACCGGAAATAGAACATAACTTAAATAACTGCAAAATGATGATGACAAAATCAGCCATTGAAGACTTTCATAATCTAAAATACAGTAAAATGGAGAAAGTTGGACACATTGAATGGAAATTACGTCAGTTATATAACATTGCAGTTCCAACAAAATCCCGACTTTGGGCAAAACCGGATACAGACGGAAGTTGGCGACCGTTACTTGTTCGAGATAAAGCGATCGGAAAAGTTTTAAACATAGACTCTGATTTTATAAGACCATTTTTCGCTCTCGAGGTGCTGGACTCGAGTGGACAGTGGAAGAATGAACCGGAAGGCGCTAAAGAAACACAAGATGTTCCTATAGGTGTGCTATATGATCATGATATATTTGAAGACGTAACGAGTACATGGGAACTAGACATACATGATCAGATTGATCATATTGGCAGAGATTTTATCGACAGACTTCATATCAACTTTGGAAGTTTTGTACAGAAAGCGAAAGATTATGTTGAAGAGAGAGATGCGATTCTACGTGAACGTGAAAGAAAGGTAACAAAACTCGGGATCCATGACATGTCTATGCAATCTATTTTTACCGTGAGAAAGAATTCTAACCTAAAGAGCAAATTCAAATTGTATAGTGCAGATATTATGAAGAATTTGTAAATGGTATGTATAAATGGACTGCCTAAAATATTCGAGCATCAACATGAATTTTAAGCAAAAGATATGTAAGCAAGACCGTCCTGTTAATAATTTTGCACAGACCGGTGACTTTACGTTAGCATGCGTGATCTTAAAGAATGGATTACAGCTAAATGAATAATAGAAATGAAAGTAACCGGTATTATGAAATCAGCTATTCCGTTCAAGTTCAAGAAATATGTATATTTTATTAAGAACTTATATCGTACTAAAAACGTGTTATGACGTTATTTTATAGGTTTCAAGTAAGGAAGCGCACCTTGATAATGTAAGGGAAGACCTTGAGGATCAACGTGATAATCTTGAGCTCGAGGTAGAAGCTTACACTAGACGGAGACTTGTGTATGAACAGAAAGAGATAAAACTAGACCAGGAGTATGATCAGAAGAAATTAGAGCTTGAAGAACAGGCTAGAAAACGTAAAGAAGAATTAGACAGAGAGTGTGCAAACTTTCAAAAAGCTAAAGACAATTTCGACACAGAATTAAAGGTAAGAGTGTTCATTTATTTATTTTTTTTTTTTGTAAATGTTATACCATTGTTGTCTTCAGTAAAAGCTGCAGATGACTGAATTGTATGGTGGCTGATTTGGTACGGTTTTATGCGTCTAGTTGACGCTAGCGACAACACGACAAAGCGCCAAACGGCGCGTTGTCGGACTTTCGTCCTGTCGTCCTGACGCTAGCGACAACACGACAAAGCGCCAAACGGCGCGTTGTCGCGCTGTCGTCTTGTCTCTAGCGCGGCACGCCAAACGGCGCGTTGTCGCGACGTCGCTTGACTTTTAAGCCAATCCTTCAATTTGAACCGAGCGACAATGTGACATCACGACAACACGCCGCTGGACAACGCGCCGTTTAGCATGCCGCGCTAGAGACAAGACGACAGCGCGACAACGTGCCGTTTGGCGCTTTGTCGCTAGCGCAAACGCGAAGCACAAAAACGTACCAAATCAGCCACCATAGAATTGTGTGTCCAGCTATATAAAGCTTGCCACTAAGAATGTTAGTATTCATCTGTAGCTGTTCTACAGAAATTAGAAAATTCTCCGGTCGCTAACGTTCCCGTCTAAATTAACAAACATATACTTTCAAATCCATTTCAAAAATTGCTAGTAACTTGTAATACTTATTTTTTAGTTCTGTATATATTAGATATATGTACTAATGTGCATGCATATTATTTAGTGAATAAGATATTGTTTAATTATTGTTTGACATTTAATGTCAAAGCAGATGTTTGTGACTGACAGTGAAAATATTCAAAATAACTTTTATATGAAATGTAACATTACATTAAATTCACACCCTTTATGATATACATTACCTATGATTCAGTTTAGAATAAAATAAATAACCAAACATATATTTTGTTCTACTTTTTTTTTATTACCATACATATATTTTTGTTCTACATAGCTTTATTTACGTTTTCAGCGAATGTCGGAGGTGTATAAAATACAAGAGAATAGAATTAAGCTGGATATTGGCGGTCAACAGTTCACGACATCACTTCTTACATTGATGAAAGATTCGAACTCGATGTTTGCAGCCATGTTTAGCGGACGTCATAAATTACGTCAGGAAAGTGACGGAAGTTACTTCATTGATCGTGACGGCGCCCACTTTCGTTATATTCTGAACTATCTTAGAGACGGGTGTATTAAAGAAGGAACGTTGCCTAGCAACGAAGTTTTATGGGGAGAACTTTTAAATGAAGCGGAGTATTATCAATTAAGTGGGTTGGTTGAATATTTAAGAGCGTTGACTAATAAAAGCGGAACTGTTTCAAGGTCAAGTAGCAACCTGAGCGTAGAAGACACGTAAACTTTGTGTATTTATGAACAACTGAAATCTGCTGCATGAAAGATTTAGCTTTTGTAAATGTGATATACCGTAACATTAAAGCTCGCTGTACTGAAATAAAAAAAACAAACAACTTGAAATGCACTGCATTATGTTTATTTACAAAAAAATATCCAAATCTTATATGGTTTCTTACATCCTCTCACCATCAAGACTGTAGTTTTTATACTTGAGAAGACCTTGGTCCTGTTTATAGTTAATTTATACCAATTTATTTTAGTTCGATTGTGTTGGAAGCTATTTATAAGCGTATTGAAACACTCTCGAACCAACCAGTGCTAAGCAACGTGTGTAAAGTTTCTTGCTTAAGAAAATAACGGCTTGTCCTGACGGGTTTGAACTCACGCCGTTCTTTGGTTATTCACCACTTGCTTACAAGTACATGTACTAGTATTCAGATTTGCCTTTCAATTCTACTCTTAGAGTTACATATTGGTTATACTAATCGAATACATAATTTTACTAATCGACGTTTGATCATAAACGATCAATAATAATTTAAAGACGTTTTCGGAAGTTTTCATAAAGACAAATTTTACCTGTTCCATGGTATTTTTTTTAAACTTGGCATGTTGTTAGAAAATATAATTTAAAGCGAAAACAATGGGGTGAACGTTCTCGTTTTCTGTGGCATATTACTTTTAAGAATTTTAAGTGCCTTTATTCACAGTGAAAAATTGTAACAGAAATGAATTATTGAAGTGTATGTAATTATTATGCATTGTGATCATCAATTAAAAGAAAAAATAATCCAGAAGTAAACAAAAGATTTTGTAAAGGAATGTTTAGTTATCTTCCATTGACATGTCCTCAACTTTGAAGGGCAGAGAACGCAAAATTAAATTCGTTGACACTAAGATTTTTTTTCGCTTAAACTATCCATCAAATTCTTACAACATGCCAAGTTTTAGGAAATTGTATTGAAGTTTTAATTCTGCCTGTATGTCTATATGAAAACTCCCGAAAATGTCTATATGAAAACTCCCGAAAACGTCCTTAAATTTCATTACATATCATGTCTGATTACTGGCAAATATGATGTTAAATCGCAATTAAGAAACATGTATAGTACCTTATTTTATTTTTAGTCAGTCTGTCTATAGGCAGCGTCTATGAAACTTTTAAACAGAAAAGGGTCAGAGCAAGGGCTATCAATCGAGAACGGTCGGTTATTCCGAAGTCGGGGCTGGGTAGTAATGGTCGTAACTCTTAACCTCATGTAGACTGTTTTCAAGCCCCCGCGCCCACTTTGAGGCATCAAATAGTGAACACGAGCTGTCACGCAAGTGACGAATGCCATCGAAAAGGTTTCTTAAGCGTGATAATGTGAAACTTCAAAATGTAATGTGACCTTGACCTTTGAGGTAGGTACGTAATTCTTGGACGCAACACATCGTCTTGATGAGGTAGACATTTGTGCGAAACTGTTTCAAATTCCCTCAATGTATGACAAAGTTACAGTCCGGACACCAATGAAGTGAGGACGCACAGACAGACGGACGGTGCGATTTTAATATACCTCCCTTGGGGGGGCATAAAATGTCCTATTTAGGCCCAAAACAGCAAAGAATTGTCAAAAAATTGATCACTTTTTTCAGCGAAAAGATACATTAAGGGGGTACCAGAGCGGGTTGTTCCCTCTTCTGCTTGGTGGTTTGAAGGGGGCAGTGGACTTGTGAGAGGCTAAAAATGGCCTCAGGTCGATCTGAAGGTAACGTGTAACCAACACTAAAAAGCCTTGAACTCTAAATCCATTGAGAAGTTGCAGCACTTTGCCGACATTACTGTAACAATACATCTATTTTTTTTTCAAAAGTCGAACTAAATAAAGAAGGAAGATTTGAGTTAATTTTCAAAATACGGGTGCTAGAGTTACGAACCTTACAACATATGATGTGGGTTATTATTAAGTATGGAACATACATTTAAAGTTGTATGAAAAAAAATCCCTCTAGTTACAGTATAGTAAAAACATATTATTCAGCAAAAAGCCTTTTAATTTCCTATGTGGAGGTAGATGCTGGGTATGACAGATCTTCATATACATGTATAGCTGAGCTAAATAGAAATTAAGATATTAATTAAAGCTATACAATAAATATATAAAAGGTCAATAATTTATTTGGACCTTCTAGTAGCAAGTGTTTACCTTGACTAGATCCAATGATAACCCTTGCTAATGATGGTTCATAAAGATGCAGACACATTTATATACTTCCTTTCATTTCAGTTTATACTGATATAATAAATAATTATTATACTGATCAAATTGATTAAAACCCATTCTTACCCAATTAAATTACTCAAGATCAGAAACTGAAAGCAATTCAGTATGTTTTCCCGAATCACCCATGGCTATTCTGAAATGCAGCCAAAACAAGTAAAGCAGTTTAAGTAGATAATCGCACCTAGATTATATACAACAATACACCAACGCTTGAAACTCTGGTTTACAGTACAACATACATTGTACTTCTAACAACAAATAAATATAACAGCTACAAGGATGCAGTAATAACAAAAATAATGTTAGTAATTTTACATAATTTATGACAAATTATAATGAATGAAGCACAATGGTAAACATGTCAACTTGTCACACAACTAATAAACAATATTGGATAATATTGTGCATGTATTTGCTAACAGTAATTTTATTATTTGACTCAATCCTCACTTTATTTCTTCTTCAGGCTGTATTTCCATTTTTGTAAACTATGCCTTTAAATGTATAATGTATTCTAAAATGAAACTGACATTCCTTTCCGAAAAAAAATTCAGAGTCCTAAAGTAATGATAATCTAAAGAAAATTTTAACATACAAGTACACATATGTAAGGAACAATTTCACAAACATTAAAGATTATAATATTATCATTGTCACTTTTTATCAGAGTCTTTTTTATCATCTTTTTTGCCAGAATCTTTTGTTAATGTACTCATTGCGTTCCGTATAGCATCGCTGTTAGGGTCAACTCCAGGTAAATTTTCCAAAACGTTTTGTAAAAATTCTTGGTCATTCATTACTTCAGAATAATCTTCTTCACCCTGTAAAAGAAACAATGAAATCTACTATTATTCTCTTATGAAACTCTTTATAAGAAATTTACAGCTAACATTTACACTAATATTGTATCATAGAACAAGTGTTAAATTTCTTTGCTTCTGAGGTTATCAAAAATAATTTTTCAAAATTGACAGTAAAAGAATAACCTCCAATATATGGTTTAGTTACTAATTTTTCCAATCATTAAATTGTCTCTTCACCTGCTAGAACATAAAATAACTAGTCTTTACCAAGGTTAGCTGACTAACATTGATATCTCCTAATTTGATAATTGCCCAAACATTGGAACTTATGAAATCCAGCAGGTTCAAGGTTATATTATTAAATCATAGAAAATGATTTATATAAAAAAATAAGATTAGTACAAGTTATCTTAGAAATAAACAAATAGCTTTTTAAAATATAATTAAAATGTCAGTGCTATGTTCTTTACATCCATTTTTCAAATTGCCTACACTAGAAATTCAAAACAATGGTATGTTTCAATAATAAATTCCTCTGTGGTTTAACATATAAGTTTTGTTATTGGATAAACTTGCCTTATTTTCCTCAGATTTACCAGCTGCACTAGATATAGTATCATCTGTGTCCATAGGAGCTGGTGTATTAGCACTGGAATTCTCAGCTGAAATTATTATCATAACTTATAGAAGGTCACATAGAAAATATTTATCAACATTAACTTGACATTAACATGAATATTCTAAAAAATGCTTGTATCAAGCTTTATATTATCAATAGAGAATTTAAAAAAGTTCAATCTGTTTAAAGTTCAAATTACTTTTAACATAAATGTTAATGTTCTAACATGTAAAGCTGTGTACTCAGTATAATATCTGTAATCACAGTGTTAAATAATCTGATTGTATTGGAGAAATATTCCTGAAACTTGGAGACCCTCCAAGGTTTTTAAGACATGAAAGTACTGGAAATATTTGTTCATGTCTATATACAGATATAAATGTTGTTAAATCAGACAGAGAATTACACAAAAATAGGATTTTCAATTTAATTCCATTCCCCTCCCTCAACTTTATGATCAAAACATATCACAGAGAGGGAAACTTAAAACTTTAAATATTGTCATAATCATTACATGCATATCATACCTCAGGCACTATTAGCATTTTTTCCCTTCTTAAGAAAGGGCAAACATGGGTTTAATAAGGTTTAAATAATGGTTTTAGAGCATGTTAGATGCTTTTATTACATGCTTTTCGGTGGTTTATAGAAATATATCAGTGATATAAAACTGGTAATTTCACTGTTTGAAACAGTGAAATTACCACTTTGATAATTTCACTGTTTTGAATTTAAGCCCCTTACGTTGTTTCAGTGAAATACCAGCGTGCACAGTACTGGGTACCAAATTAATGACGTGACGTGGTGAATGATGTCACGTTATATTATAATTTGGCGCGCTTTTCACTCAGTATTAGGTTTAAAGTCTTTTTAAAACGTTTCTTTGCATGAAATAAAAAGAAAATTTGTTTAGTTTAGTGTAAGATCCAAATATATTTCACCTTGTGAACACCAAAAGTTCATATTTCACTCGTGGCTGCGTCACTCGTGAAATATACCTTTTGGTGCTCACTCGGTGAAATATATTCCTATCTTACACTGAACTAAACAAATATCCTCTATATCCCCCTCCCCCCACCCCAAGGATATGAAATTATTTGGGTAAGAAAAATGTAAACAAAGTAGTAATTTGACCATCATAAACTAAATCTCTAAAACTGTACAAATTGCCGAAAGGCAACAGATGCAAAATATGGTTTAGGTAATTGTCCAATGAGTAATCTTTTTATGACTATATAACAAATAATAACAAGAGCTGTCACAGGAGACAGCAAAGCTCGACTAATAAAATACTGGACCCAGTAAGGAGGACAAAACTATGAAAGAAAATGTATAATGTATTATTATGTATTAAGTTATAGTAAAAAAATAACATTCGTTAACATAAATTCCAAGATCAAGGGAAATAATTCTAGAAATAGTCACGCTAGAGTTATGAACCTTGTCACACAACATGTGTGTTATGATAAGAAATACATATTTGAAGTTTGAAGTAGATACCTTAAAAAGTAAAGAAGTTATAATATTTCTTAAAGAAAATCCTAAGTTCAAAGAGAGATAAATCTGTGAAAATTGCTTAAAGAGTTATGAACATTGTCACATAAAATGTAATTGATGATAAGGAATAAGTATTTGAAGTTTAAAGTAGATACCTTTAAAACTAAAAAAGTTATAGTAAAAAATAACATTTTTCTAGTAAAAAAATCTAAGTTTATGGGGCGATAATTCTTGCAATATTGGTGCTAGAGTTATGAACCTTGTCACATTAGATATGGATGATGATAAGGTACATATATTTGAAGTATGAAGTTGATCCCTTTAGAAATAAATAAGTTACAGTAAAAAATAATATTTTTTAAGGAAAATTCTAAGTTCAAGGGGAGATGAATCTGAAATTATTTGTGCTAGAGTTACGAACCTTGTCCCATTAGATGGGGATGATGATAATGTACATATATTTGAAGTATGAGGGTGATCCCTTAAGAAATAAAGAAGTAACAGTAAAAAATAATATTTTTTAAGAAAAATTCTAAGTTCAAGGGGAGATAAATCTTAAAAATATTGGTGCTAGAGTTATGAACCTTGTCACATAAGAGGGGGATGATGATAAGGTACATTTGTTTAAAGTATGAGGGTGATCCCTTAAGAAATAAAGAAATTACAGTAAAAAATAGTATTTTTTAAGGAAAATTCTAAGTTCAAGGGGAGATAAATCTGAAAATATTGGTGCTAGAGTTATGACTCTTGTCACATAAGATGTGGTTGATGATAAGGAACATATATTTGAAGTTTGAAGTTGATACCTTAAGAAATGACAAAGTTAAAGTGAAAAATATTTTACTGCACCAAAACTTTAATCTGAAATCTGGACGCGGACGCTGGGGCGAGTAGGACAGCTCTCCATATACTTCGTATAGTCGAGCTAAAAAGCTGTTTAGATATAAAATAAAAGCCTTTCTTGGGTAGGCACTACATAACTAACCTGAGTTCTGCATGGACATCTGCATGGCATAAGCTATTTGATCTTCCTCTGACATACTACCAAAGTCTGGAACACTTGGTGTCTGTTGTTCCTGTCCACCCATTGACATAGAGATTGCCTGCTCCAACATTGCCTCTTCATTAGTAGCTTCAGCAGGCACTTTCCCAGCCTCCACAGCCGACTCTGTCTGTACCTTCCTAGCCTCTTCCTCCTGCCGTGCTCTCTGTTCCTCCATGGACACTCGGAGAGCCAGTGCGAGCTCTGGATCTTCATTAGGATCAACACCAAACTCAAACCCGGTAGCCTGCATGGCAACTCCAGCCCCATCCTCACCAACTATAACAGGAGAGTTGACCAGAGCTTCAGACAGAAGTGGTCCTGGAGGCACTGTGACAAGATGTGACCTACAATGCCATATACAAGAGCCAGGTAAATGTACCAATTAATGATGAGGCAGGTTTTATTTTTGGATAGTGACCAAGCACATTTTGATTTGTCACAAAGACCATATATTAATCAAAATCCATGTGATAATGATCTCAAATTATTAGCGATGGCAACGAATACCAAAATCAATACTCGAGTACTCGGTCATTTTTCCGATCGAGTACTCGGTTACTCGGATGATTTCCAATGAGTTTTTGAAGTTTATCACTGTCTGCATGCTACATTCGTTTTCTATTTCAATTCATAGAATTCGTAACTATAAATAGGACTGCAAGAATAAAAACATAAAAAATGTCAATGACAGCATTTATTTTATACCTACAAATTTTCTCCTTAAAATACAGGATGAACTTGAAGCGCAAATGATAGATAATTCCGTATTATGTTAGTGACAAATGCTGTACCTGTGTACCATATATGAAGTGCCGGACTATTTTTGATGTTGGTTCCGATCTTAGCTATGTATAAACGTAGCATTTGGAAACGGAAACCAAAATTATAAAAGGCGTGGCCGGTTTTGCAAAAATTACGTATTCATCCGTCGGTCAAAAATTTATTTCTTGACAGCTACATTTCATTTTCTGAAATTTCTTATAGAAGTGTAGTATAATGAAAATCATTTATAATTCAAACGAAAAGGTATAAGGAAAATTATGTTGTAGCCTATGCATTTTTCTACTCGCAATGTTGGAAAATTGATATTTCGCGCGACTTTCGGTCTCGTCAAGTTTCGGCTACAAACTGTCTAATATTTAAAGGTGATTAAATATCATAAGAGGCCGAATGACGTAAACGACACAGGACTGTGTTTAATCCCATGCGCGTGTCGAACTGCTGATCGCCTCGTTAAACTTACGATAACATTTTCACACCTCTGCAAGGATGTTTTGATTGCACTTAACAAGTATTTTGTACAGATACGTGTACATTTCAGAATTTCTGAACTAATCTTTCTAAATCGCAGAAATAGTAGAAATTAAATATTTTTTTCCGAGTAATCGAATATCAATTTTGTTAACCGATATTCGGACGTTCGATCGAGTACTCGGTTAACCGGTTACTCGTTGCCATCCCTACAAATTATAATCACGATGACATGTATTAAGGACGTTTTCTGGAATTTTCATATAGACATATAGGCAAAATTAAAACTGTTCAATAGAATTTCTTTAAACTTGGCATGTTGTAAGAATATGAACAGAAACATTTTGAGCGAAAAAAAAATATGGGTCACCGTTCTCGTTTATCTATATGTCTATATGAAAACTCCCGAAAACGTCTTTAAGTTAAAAGTGAATACTTTTAGAAGTTTTTAAGATTGATGTTGTACTCGCACCAGAAATTATTTCAGTTCACATTGGGCAATCATTCAATCAAAACCCATGCTAGAGTTATTTGCCCTGGAACCTTTTATTATAATCTTATTGGCATGTGTGAATTAAAAGGCAAATATCTACTGCAGTTGATATGTAGTTGTACAAATGGGTGCACACAAAAACCTGCATTAAGTTGACACTCAGGTAAGTACTAGGATATCAACACTATTCTTCATATAATGCAGCTAGAAATGATGATGTTTATGTTGATTATTCTTTAACATTCAATAATTCTGAAGTATTTTCAGTACAAAAAGATTATCCATAAACTATATTAAAAATATACATCAAAATGTAATATGTGTTAATGCGAAACAAGAGGGCCATGATGGCCCTGAGGTCGCTCACCTGTATATAGGCCCCCCCCCCCCCCCCCCCCCAACGTTGCAGGGCCAATTTAACCCAAGGGCTTTTATTTGCACAATCTTGGTAGACACCCATAAGAAAATGTTTCATGCTAAACATCTAAGCTCTAGCTCATTTGGCTTTTTAAAAGAAGATTTTTTTAAAGTTTTTGCTATACACATATAAAGAAAATCAATGACCCCCGGGGCGGGGCTAATTTTGACCCCAGGTCTTTTATTTGAACAAACTTTGTAGACACTCACTAAAAGATGTTTCATGCTTAATATCTTAACTCTAGCTATTTGGGTTTTTTCAAAGAAGATTTTTTAAGTTTTTGCTAAACACATATAAGGAAAATCAATGATCCCCGGGGCGGTGCCAATTTTGACCCCAGGGCTTTTATTTGAACAAACTTGGTAGACACCTATTAGAACATGTTTGATGCTAAATATCTTAGCTCTAGCTCTTTTGGATCTTTAAAAGAAGATTTTTTAAGTTTTTACTATATGCATATAGGGAAAATCAATGACCCCCCCGGGGCGGGGCCAATTTTAACCCCAGGGTTTTTATTTTAACAAACTTGGTAGACACTTATTAGAACATGTTTCATGCTAAATATCTTAGATCTAACTCTTTTGGATATTTAAAAGAAGATTTTTTAAGTTTTTACTATATGCATATAGGGAAAATCAATGACCCCCTGGGGCGGGGCCAATTTTGACCCCAGGGCTTTTATTTGAACAAACTTGGTAGACACCTATTAGAACATGTTTGATGCTAAATATCTTAGCCATAGCTCTTTGATTTCTTTAAAAGAAGATTTTTCAAGTTTTTACTATATGCATATAGGGAAAATCAATGACCCCCCGGGGCGGGGCCAATTTTAACCCCAGGGTTTTTATTTTAACAAACTTGGTAGACACTTATTAGAACATGTTTCATGCTAAATATCTTAGCTCTAACTCTTTTGGATCTTTAAAAGAAGATTTTTTAAGTTTTTACTATATGCATATAGGGAAAATCAATGACCCCCCGGGGCGGGGCCAATTTTGACCCCAGGGCTTTTATTTGAACAAACTTGGTAGACACCTATTAGAACATGTTTGATGCTAAATATCTTAGCCATAGCTCTTTGATTTCTTTAAAAGAAAATTTTTTAAGTTTTTACTATATGCATATAGGGAAAATCAATGACCCCCCGGGGCGGGGCCAATTTTAACCCCAGGGCTTTTTTTTTTTAACAAACTTGGTAGACACTTATTAGAACATGTTTCATGCTAAATATCTTAGCTCTAACTCTTTTAGATCTTTAAAAGAAGATTTTTTAAGTTTTTACTATATGCATATATGGAAAATCAATGACCCCCTGGGGCAGGGCCAATTTTGACCCCAGGGCTTTTATTTGAACAAACTTGGTAGACACCTATTAGAACATGTTTGATGCTCAATATCTTAGCCATAGCTCTTTGAGTTCTTTAAAAGAAGATTTTTTAAGTTTTTACTATATGCATATAGGGAAAATCAATGACCCCCCGGGGCGGGGCTAATTTTGACACCAGGGCTTTTATTTGAACAAACTTGGTAGACACTCACTAGAAAATTTTTCATGCCAAATATCTAAGCTCTACCTCTTATGGTTTTTGAAAAGAAGATATTTAAAGTTTTTTCTTTCGGTTGCCATGGCAACCAGAGTTCTGCATGGAATTAAATTCTTTGAACAATTTTTAAAGGTGACCACCAAAGGAACATTCCTGTGAAGTTTGGACGAAATTGGCTTAGTGGTTTATGAGGAGATGTCATTTAAAGTAAAAGTTTACGGACGGACGGACGATGGACAGACAGACGCCGGACGAAAAGCGATCACAAAAGCTCACCCTGTCACTTTGTGACAGGTGAGCTAAAAAGTGATGATGTATAACTAAAGGGAAACAAGTCAATATATATATATTTTCTTACAGTTCACATTATGTGAAAAACATGTTTGATCTGTTTAAACTTTATTCCTTTCTATGAAGTTTTTGTTATTTGTGACCTGCAGCTAAATGTGTCAAAGAGAGGATTATGTTACAAAGGAAATTGATAAAACATATCCTATAACATTGGTTAAACACAGTAAACTTTATATGTGATAACTGCTGAGATTTTTTCAAACTATAAATAAGAGTTCATTTTCACAATGGCAGTTGAACAAATATTCTTGATAGCTTGTATTAAAGCAGCGCACCTCAAGATATTCATGTTAATTTTCATGAAAATTTTGGAAATGTTAAGAAAAGTAAAATATTGTGAGGTGAACAAATAATGTAATTTATATATTGCAATCGGCACTTACAATCCACGAAAATTACCAAGAAGTGATCAACATATGCAAAAACAGTCCTTACTGCGTTAGTAACGCAGTAGAAATATGGTGATAAAATACTGAAAAATCACTCTTAAATAGCATGTAACGTTTTAATTATAACTTGGATCTTGAAAATTTTAGTACATTTTTCTCAATATTTATTTTCTTGAAATATTTTGGCTCATCTGCAGGCGTGCAGCTTTAAGGTATTAGAGATTAATTTTTTAATTTCATTACCGGTACATATATTTTCTATTTCAGAACAACTGATCACTTCATTGTCTTTTAAATAAAATGGCTAGAATTAAGTTTAGTACCAAAATATCTTTTATTTGTTCATTTTCTATTGATTCTAGTCTTCGATCAGTATTATGTATCAAATGCCTTTGAAAGAATTACCCCACACAGCACATATATTAGTACCTTTGATATACCATTTAATTTTAGTATGTGCATCAGAATCATTAATGCATAAAGCTGTCTTACAAATATGCTATTTAGAACAATCATGAAAACAGCACACATTATTAAGTTAAAGCTTACCCAGTTCCATCTTTGCCATTGATAGTGTTGATGAACTCTGTTAGTTTCTCTGTGTTAAGACTCTGAATTATAAATTAAAAGGAAATAATCAAAAACATACCACTTCATTTTTAGAAATATTGATTTAAGATTAACATTTCAAATATGCAAAGGCTGCCTTTATTCTTAAATACATTAATTATAAAAGATTGCATTTGTGCAAAATTTCTATTATACAACAATAAATAGTAGGAATGGAAATAGTTAATTTTTTGTTTCTATTTAATTTAAATTTGTGACAATGCAGTAGCGTCCAGTGAATTTAGAAGGTCAAGGTAATATTTCAGCATGTCAAATGAAAGATAATGTGCAGATATGTTTATTTGCTGCATCAAAAAATTTCTTTTTCAATTATATAGATACTAGGTAAAAACCTTTTACTTCCTTCATTCCCCTACCGGAAAGCCCTAATTCTAACCCAAGGGCTATATTTTGAAGATTCTGGTAAAGGCCCACTAGAAAATGTCTCATGACTAATTTCCAAGATCTAGTCCTTGTAAATTTTACTAAGGTTTTTTTTAATTTTTACTCTAGGGATGAGTCAATTTAAGGATCACATGATGCCTAGAACTATATTTTGAACAATGTTGGTACAGGTACACAAGACAATGTTTCATGCCAAATATTTTAGCTCTAGCCCATGCAGTTTTGTAGATTTTATTTTTTTTTACTCTATCACATGATGCCAGAGGTTGGGGTCAGTTATTACACAAGAGTTGTAATCTTGATAGAAGTCCACAAGACAATGCCTTGTGCAAAGTATCTATGCCCTTGGCCTGGTGGTTCTATAGAAATAGATTTTAAGTTTCTTCCTATTACTCCTTATGGTTGCCATGGCAACAGATTTCTGTATCGAATCAAATTCTTTGACTAACTTTAGAAGACTTTCACACAAGGAACAATCTTCACAAGTTAAGTTGAAATCAGACTTTGTTTTTTTTGGAAATTTTCTAAATTCATTATTTACTATATTAAATTAGATTCACACAAATAGACACACAGAGGTAAATATAGATATATTCCAATACATCACATATGCTGCTGTGGCATATAAACTTGCAAATGAGTTGTAGTTATAGCTGGTAGTGCTTAATGATTTTTCTGTAAATAGCAATATAAATGTACTTCTTATTTGTTCACCATTGTATGTGTGCCCGTCACACTATCATGGTTATTAAATAGTGTAATATAGAATAGTAACTTGCTTATCACTTATTAATAATGGCAGACATATTAAAGTCCATTCAAATCAACCATTATTACCAAAACATCTACTTTAAATTAAAGATATTTTCAAAGAATGTAGAGTAACATGTACATAATGCTCCTTAGTTATCGGGCTAATGACTTCTTAATTAAGTTTTATGATTCAGTTTTTCCTTCTGGCAGAGCTTTACAGCTAAAACCAAACATTTCATTTCTTACAAACAAATAATGACATATACCTCCTCTCCAAAGTTGATAACATCCACATTCACTTTTTCTTTCTTCAGTTTCTTGGCAAGCTTGACTATCTGAGAGACAAAAATGCATTACATGTTATATCTCAAATGAAAAAAGAAAAGACTTTTTAGACTTATAAAGAAGTATACAAATTCTTAACCCTTTCCCTCATGAGCATATTGTGAAACATGGCCATTTTCACTGAAAAGCCTCCTGTTACAAGTTCAAAAAACTGCTATGAAACTATGAAAAATGCTTCAATACTAATGAAACTTGGCACAAACGTTGACTGGACCATTGCCTTTGTAACGACATGCTCAGTCTTAAATTTCCTGTTACCATGGCAACAAGGGGACATCTCAAAATTGCCAAAAATCACTATTTTGCCTCGATTTTTTCCATTAAAATTTATTTCAATGTGCTGCAACTTCTCAAGGGATTGAGATAGAGTCAAAGGCTTTTCAGCGTTGGTTACATGTTACCTTATGATCGACCTGTGGTCATTTTTAGCCTCTCGCAAATCCAAAATTTTCTTGGCGATGAGGGGCCCCTTCAAACCCCCCAAACAGAAGGGGGCACATCCCCCTTCTGGCAACCCCCTGATGTATCTTTTGGATGGGGGGCGGTGCCGAAAAAGTGCTCACTTTTTTTAGCAACATTTCTCAAACGAAAACATGTGTTTGGGCCCAAATAGGACATTTTTTCACTATTTCAGGTCTAAAAAAAAAAGGGGGGGGGGGGGGGGGGTCGAAAGTGCGTTGTTTCGCGTACATATGAGGTAAAGGGTTAAATATGGTAATAATTTAGCATGAGATAAATTAAGGATAAGGAATTAAGAATTAGGAAAAAACTAGAACTCTGCGAGTCAGATGTGTCGTCTTGTGAACAGTATAGCTCTTACAATGTACATGTTCCTTGAACTTTAGTGGCATTTGAACTGATTGTAACAATGCTACATCAGTATTGATGTAGCTTGAATAGCTTTTATTGTGTAGGAGACTTGGCCCAGACAAAAATATAGTATAATAATTAACAAAGGGCAATAACTCTAAAATCATGAAGCACAGAGTACCAGTTCTTGTGCACTGCTTTCTTCTCAATGAAATCTATCATCCTATGAAGTTTCAAGTCCATAGCTTTTATAGTTTAGGTGAAATGGCCGGGACAAAAACAAAGTATAACTAGAACTATCGCTGAATGCGATTCATACCCCCACCAATGTCCTTGACAGAACAGGACTTGGAAAGGTGGTTAAGGCAATAACTTGTGTGGCATAAATACATAAAAAGAAATTATCTCTGGTGAAAAAAAGACTAACAGTACAGGTAATAGTATAAATATAATTATCATCAATCATGTTCGAAACAGTTACAAAAAACCTTTTCATTTTTCCCTATGTACTAAACATTTTATTTTTAAGTCAAATTTTTGACTTCAAGTGTGGCCTTGACCTTAATCTGTTGGCACACGGGTAACATGGGTTTTGCACATCGCCCAGTTGGGGTGAACATTTGAGTAAAGTTTTGAAGAAAATCCTTCCATTAGTATAGAATTTATAGAGCCGACACAAAATACTGTCTAGTATTGATTGTATGTAAATTTGAAGACTTAAAAAGGGGCATAACTTTGTCAAAATGCAAAACAGAGTAATGAAAACTTGACCTGCATATCTGATTTGCGACATCTCATATATCTTAAAGTTTTCAAAACAAATACCTGTGCTAGTTTCAGAATTATTCAAGTACATGTTAAAATTTAAGAAACATTTTCTAAGTCAATTATTGACCTTCAAGTGTGACCTTGACCTTTAGAAGGCACAAAAAGTGACATAAATTCTGCACATAACCTTGTTGAGGTGAACATTTGAGTAAAGTTTTGAAGAAAATTCTTCCATTAGTATCGGATTTATAGAGCCGACACGACATATTGTTATTATATTTGATTGTATGTAAATTTGAAGACTTAAAAAGGGGCATAACTTTGTTAAAATGCAATACAGAATTATGAAACTTTGACCAGCATATCTTAATTGTGACACTTCAAATACATTTTAAGTTTTCAAGCACAAACCTTTTCTAGATTCAGAAATATTCAAATTAAATGTTAAAATTTCAGAATATTTTCTAAGTCAATTTTTGACCTTCAAGTGTGACCTTGACCTTAAGCCGGCAAAAGGGTGACATGGGTTCTGCACATCCCCTTGTTGAAGGTGAACATTTGAGCCAAGATTGAAGAAAATCTTTCAATTAGTGTAGGACTTACAGAGCGGACACGACATACTGTGTAATATTTGATTGTTTGATATTTGACCTTCAATTGTGACCTTGACCTTGAGCTGACACCATGGGTAACATCGGTTCTGCACATCCCTTGTTGAGGTGAACATTTGAGCCAAGTTTGAAGAAAATCCTTCAATTAGTGTAGGACTTACAGATGCGGACACGACATATAGTGTAATATTTGATTGTTTGATATTTGACCTTCAAATTGTGACCTTGACCTTCAGCTGACACATGGGTAACATCGGTTCTGCACATCCCCTTGTTGAGGTGAACATTTGAGCCAAGTTTGAAGAAAATCCTTCAATTAGTGTAGGACTTACAGAGCGGACACGACATATAGTGTAATATTTGATTGTTTGATATTTGACCTTCAATTGTGACCCTGACCTTGAGCTGACACATGGGCTACATGGGTTCTGCACATCTCCTTGTTGAGGTGAACATTTGAGCCAAGTTTGAAGAAAATCCTTCAATTAGTGTATGACTTACAGAGCGGACAGGACATACTGTGTAATATTTTGATTGTTTGATATTTGACCTTCAATTGTGACCTTGACCTTCAACTGACACATGGGCTACATGGGTTCTGCACATCCTCTTGTTGAGGTGAACATTTGAGCCAAGTTTGAAGAAAATCTTTCAATTAGTGTAGGAACTTTACAGAGCGGACACGACATACTGTGTAATATTTGATTGTTTGATATTTGACCTTTCAATTGTGACCTTGACCTTGAGCTGACACATGGGCAACATGGGTTCTGCACATCCCTTGTTGAGGTGAACATTTGAGCCAAGTTTGAAGAAAATCCTTCAATTGGTATGGAGCTTATAGAGCGGGGCACGAAAATGGGGACGGACCGACGGAAACCCACCGGGGCCGAACCGGGCCGGGCCGACCCCGACAAAACGAATCCATTATAGCCCCCCCCACATTTTGTGGTGGGGGTATAATAATTAACAAAGGGCAATAACTCTAAAATCATGAAGTACAGAGTACCAGTTTTTATGCAATGCACTTCAATGAGATCTATCATCCTTTAAAGTTTCATGTCCATAGCTTTTATAGTCTTGGAGAAATGGCCCGGACAAGAATGAAATATGAAAAACAAAGGGCAATAACTCAAAAATAAGAAGTACACTGAACCGGTTTTTGTGCACTGCACTTCTTAATGAGATCAATCATCCTATGAAGTTTCAAGTCCATAGCTTTTATAGTTTAGGATAAATGGCCCGGACAAAAATAATGTATGAAAATAACCCCTTAATGTCGCCTTTTTCAAGGTGACACAAAAACTGCATTGTTTTCAGCAGAAATAAGTTTGTACTGTATGAACATGTTTAAATGCATTATGTTGGGCTTAAGGCTCCATTTTAAATATATCCAGTAATTTATGATTTCTAGAGAACTGCCTCTAGAACTTGTTGCAACTGAAGTAGATACTTTATTTAGGAAGTTGGTGGTGGATTGTTGATGATAAGGAACATATATTTTAAGTTGATACCTTAAGAAATAAAGAAATTATGGTTAAAAATATTCTACTGCACAAAAACTGAAACCTGGACGCAGACATGGACGCCGGGGTACAGTAACTGTAGGACAGCTCTCGATATACTTTGTTTTGTCAAGCTAAAAGTTGTAAAATATATCCATACAGGGTTGAATTTTAGGGGACAGATATTGAGGGATTCTCATTAACAAAAGGGCCATGATGGCCCCAAAATCGCTCACCTGAATATAAAATCTCTCCATGACAAGGAACAAGTAATATGGTAAACTATAAACAAAAGCAGAAATAAAATCTAGATCTTAAACTGATATCACAAAGTTCATATTTGTATCTGAAATAGTGCATGTGTTAAAACATTACTTCATTTGTGACAGATGAGTTTAAAAGCATCATTGTCTCTATATTGGACATAATAACTTGCATTAGTAAACTTACCTCTTTCTCATCATCCTCTACTGGACTACCCACAAACACAACAATTCTCATACGATGATTCTTACCCTGTCTATGCTTCAAAGCAAGCTGAAATTATCAATGTTAATATTGGTATATTCTTTTACATTAACAATGTATGAATGTACATTGATATAAATAATTTAAGGCCCATTATTCCTCACAAACATGACTGATATTTTTGTTTTATTATAGAGATTCTAGTATTTTGTATGGAAGTCAAAATACTACTTTGTTTACAATTTGTTATTTTTTATGACACAGTACTGCACATTCAGCGTTACTTTCTTCAGTTATTATACATTTAACATGCTCCTATTTAAATCCATTATAAAAACATTGTTAAACACATGTTTGACATTTTTTTATAAAAGAAAATGAAAGATAATAAGGGTGTCACTTTTATCCGTTTAAACGGGTTTGGTCCATCTTTAACTAAAAACAGGTTATAAAATTTAATAACCGTTTACCGAGATTAGTATTTGACAAAGTGGCAAACAAAATAATTAAAATTGATTATATATACATAAATTTTCTTTTATAACAAGATATGATATTTCGTTCATATTTTAGTTGTACTCAACAAAGTATTTTTTTCCAATCTGATCGAGTACAGGACAGCCCTAAAGGAAAATTAGGGCATTTTTTGTCAAAATTGTGAAGGGGCCTGGACCTGTTCATTTTGTGAAAAAAGTGTGATTTGTCATAAAATTGTGAAAAAAAACCCATATTATTTGGCATTGACCGACATTATGAAACTGGAAAATCTGCTTCAAGTCCATACTTAACCAGCTTAACATGTGCTTAAACCATTTAACTTGATTAAAACTATTTCTGTGTTCTTGAAATTGGCGTAAATCATGTTTTACCGGAAGGTAAACAATGTATTTCAAAGACAAAGTCCCAAAATTTTGTGAAATTTCTTTTGAAATTGTGATTTTTTTTTCGCCACTAAAAAAGGTGCAATTTTGAATTGTGAAGGGGCGGGCCTTATATTGGCCCCTGTTATAGAAGGAAAAAAAGCCCTGAAAATAGTTACTTCATATTCGGATATGTATTGTGTCTAATCATTTTGAGTACAACAAAATATGAACAAAATGTTATATCTTGTCATAAAGAAACAAGAACGGGTTGAACCTGGTGATGTACCCCGAGAAGGTTTTAGACACGGGAAAGTATAAAAAAAAATGAACAAAGGGCAAAAACTCCAAAATTAGGCAATGCAGAGTTATGTTTTTTTTGCACTTCACTTCTATTCAATGCAGCATCGGAGCCCTTGGAAAGGGAAATTGCATCGAAAACGAAACCAGATATATTCACTCACACAATCCGACCAATCAGAAACCAAATTACATTTACTTTCGGCAACAACGTCCATAGCAACACTTCCGGAACAGGAAAGGTCTAAATTAAATCCGAAGATAAAACAAACAACGGAAGGTCAGAAACAGCGCAAAATTGACGAACCAAAAATCTCAAGATTTAAATTCTCAAAGAAACTTCATGTTCAAAAGACCCGACCACAATATAATATTTTATACTTAGAAAAGTACATCAGAACAAAATCCATCCTTAAATCATTCTTACCAAAAGTACCAGTTATCAGCTCAACTTCACAATTACAGTGGGAAGAAGCACATATTGACTTTGATACCCAGAATTATCCTATTGTATCCATGGCGTACTTAGAAGAGAGATTTCTTGCCACTCAACAAATAGAACCACTCATATGGTGCAGATATATTGATGACATTTTTACAATTTGGCCACATCGTTGTGAGGAATGGTATTCCTTCTTGGCCCACTTGAACGATTCTCACTTCTTTATCAAAATTACATATGAAATCGCCAGCCATGAAAGAAGCTCACTTTTTATGTTAAATAGTTAAAAGATGTACATGGTAACCTCAATACTAGACTGTACATTAAAACTACTGATGCCAAAAATATTTACATTAAAAAAGTGCATAACATAGAAATAGTAAAACTTATGGTGACACAAAAGAACAATTTATTTGTGTATTATTATTTATGGAACTTTTCAATAATCAGAAAGCACTGGACTCTGTAAAACTATGATATTTTAACTTATTTAACTATTACACATGGACTTAACAACATTCTGGCAATAAGCCAAATCTTATTCTATTTTTAGATTTTTTGTTACTATTTTGGTCAGTCATGTGACTTACCATCCTACACATTTTTAATACTTCAGGCCCAAATTTCTGTCAAAATTTATCCTGATGAAGACCTCACGGTAGGTCGAAACCGGTAGATAATAAAATAACATAAACATCCCTGGTGTTGACGTGTAATTTTCTTCTTACTTATCCTTTCTTGTTCTATTCAATGAGATCAATCTATCTATGAAGTTTCATGTTGATATCTCTTATAATTTTAGATTTACATGTATGTCCCGCGGAAAATTCAAAAATAATCAAAGGGCAATAACTCCAAAAATAGACAAGGCTGTGTTTAGGTTCTTTAGCATTGCAGTTCTATCCAATGAAATCTATCTACCTACAAAGTTTCATGTTGATATCTCTAATAATGTTATAGTTATATCCCGGACAAAAGTAAAACTAAACAAAGGGCAATAACTTCAAAATAAGGCATGGCACAGTTATGGTTCTTTAGCACTGCACTTCTACCCAATGAGACCTATCTACCTACAAAGTTTCATGTTGATATCTCTTATAATTTTAGAGAAATGGCCCGAACAAATTTAAAGTGTCAAAATGAACAAAAGGCAATAACTCCAAAATAAGGCAAGACAGAGTTATGGTTCTTTAACAATGTACTTCCACTCAATGAGATCTATCTACCTACAAAGTTTCATTTTGATATCTCTTATACTTTCAGAGTTATGTCCCGAAAAGTATCATGTTGATATCTCTTATACTTTTAGAGTTAAATGTCCCGGACAAAGTTCAAAGTGTAACAAGAGGGCCATGATGGCCCTGAGGTCGCTCACCTGTATATAGCCCCCACCCCCCCCCCCCCGGGCCAATTTTTACCCAAGGGCTTTTATTTGTTTATTTGAACAGACTTGGTAGACACCCATAAGAAGATGTTTCATGCTAAACATCTAAGTTCTAGCTCATTGGGCTTTTTAAAAGAAGATTTTTTTAAGTTTTTTACTATACACATATAGTTAAAAACAATGACACCCCTGGGGCAGGGCCAGTTTTGACCCCCGGGCTTTTATTTGAACAAACTTTGTAGATATTTACTTAAAGATGTTTCATGCTCAATATCTAAAATCAAGCTATTTGGGTTTTTTCAAAGAAGATTTTTAAGTTTTTGCTATACACATATAAGGAAAATCAATGACCCCCGGGGCCGGGCCAGTTTTGACCCCAGGGCTTTTATTTGAACACACTTGGTAGACACCCATTAGAACATGTTTCATGCTAAATATCTTAGCTCTAGCTCTTTGAGTTCTTTAAAAGAAGATTTTTTAAGTTTTTACTATATGCATATAGGGAAAATCAATGACCCCCTGGGGCGGGGCCAATTTTGACCCCAGGGCTTTTATTTGAACAAACTTGGAAGACACTCATTAGAAGATGTTTCATGCTAAATATCTTAGCTCTAGCTCTTTGGGTTCTTTAAAAGAAGATTTTTTAAGTTTTTACTATATGCATATAGGGAAAATCAATGACCCCCCGCGGCGGGCCAATTTTGACCCCAGGGCTTTTATTTGAACAAACTTGGTAGACACTCACTAAAAGATGTTTTCATGCCAAATATCTTAGCTCTAGCTCTTTGGGTTCTTTAAAAGAAGATTTTTTAAGTTTTTACTATATGCATATAGGGAAGGACCAATTTTGACCTCAGGGCTTTTATTTGAACAAACTTGGTAGCCACTCATTAGAAGATGTTTCATGCTAAATATCTTAGCTCTAGCTCTTTGGGTTCTTTAAAAGAAGATTTTTTAAGTTTTTACTATATGCATATAGGGAAAATCAATGACCCCCTGGGGCGGGGCCAATTTTGACCCCAGGGCTTTTATTTGAACAAACTTGGTAGACATTCACTAGAAGATGTTTCATGCCAAATATCTAAGCTCTAGTTCTTACAGTTCTTTAAAAGAAGATTTTTTAAGTTTTTACTATATGCATATAGGGAAAATCAATGACCCCCCGGGGCAGGGCCAATTTTGACCCCAGGGCTTTTATTTGAACAAACTTGGTAGACATTCACTAGAAGATGTTTCATGCCAAATATCTTAGCTCTAGCTCTTTGGGTTCTTTAAAAGAAGATTTTTTACTATATGCATATAGGGAAAATCTATGACCCCCTGGGGCAGGGCCAATTGTGACCCCAGGGCTTTTACTTGAACAAACTTGGTAGACACCCACTAGAAAATGTTTCATGCCAAATATCTTAGCTCTAGCTCTTTGGGTTCTTTAAAAGAAGATTTTTTAAGTTTTTACTATATGCATATAGGGAAAATCAATGACCCCCTGGGGCGGGGCCAATTTTGACCCCAGGGCTTTTATTTGAACAAACTTGGTAGACATTCACTAGAAGATGTTTCATGCCAAATATCTAAGCTCTAGTTCTTACAGTTCTTTAAAAGAAGATTTTTTAAGTTTTTACTATATGCATATCTAAGCTCTAGCTCTTAGGGTTGTTTAAAAGAAGATATTTAAAGATTTTTCTTTCGGTTGCCATGGCAACCAGAGTTCTGCATGGAATTAAATTCTTTGAACAATTTTTAAAGGTGACCACCAAAGGAACATTCCTGTGAAGTTTGGATGAAATTGGCTCAGTGGTTTATGAGGAGATGTCATTTAAAGCAAAAGTTTACGGCAGGACGCCGGACGAAAAGCGATCACAAAAGCTCACCCTGTCACTTTGTGACAGGTGAGCTAAAAATAAACAAAGGGCAATAATTCAAAAATAAGGTATAGCAGAGTTACGGTTCTTGTGCACTGCAAACCTTCTCAATGAGATCTATCTATCTGCAAAGTTTCATGTTGATAACTTATTGTTTTAGAGTTATGTCCTGCACAAAGTTCAAAGTGTACAAATAAACAAAGGGCAATAATTCAAGTATTAGGCAAGGCAGAGTTACAGTTCTTGTGCACTGCACACCTACTCAATGAGATCTATCTACCTACAAAGTTTCATGTTGATACCTCTTGTTGATGGACAGACGGATGGACAGACAAAGCGGCGACTATATGCTCACCCTTCGGGAGCATAACAAAGTCAATGTTAAAAATCTAAGAATTTTATTAGTACTGTCGGTTAAATGTTTAACATGGTTATAAACATTCAGCATTTTTACTAACCATGACACCCCTAAGAAATAAAACACAACTGAATTAAATCAGTTAACTAGAAATCATTTTAAATAAATTTGTTTTACTGTCTCGAGCTTGCTAGACTAAATATCTGACAAGTTTTTTTTTTTAAGTCTGGAAGTCTGGTCACTACTGGTCGGAGACCATCAACCGGACACTTTTTGAACATTTGTTCATAAAGATTTCATAATTTCCAACCCAGAGACCTAAAAATTTGACACAGTACAGCTAGGTTCTTATCCTAACTAACAAACTAGTTTGTTTATTTCTAATTGTATAGACACTTGAGGCTCGTCAAGGAGGGTATCAAAATTACCTAAATTGTCTACTCTACAGTACCATGTGTCCGGACAGATATGTACATGGCGTGATTTAATTCAGATCAAAGCTTGGGTGTTTTGATTTTTGATTTTTAATATAATATACATGTACATTATTTCAGCAACAAATGCTGAAGTTTTGGAAATTCTATTGTTTACTCTGCAAATGATTATAGCTGGTATATGAGATCAGGCATTGCTTTCTTGACCCCCAAATTTCAATGTCAACATTCTTGAAATAGACATTAAAATAAAATATTACCTTTTACGGAGCTTGAAATAAATTTATTTACTTAATTTTAGAAGAAACATACATTTAATGTTGATAAAAAAAGTGACAGACAATCACTGAACAAAGAAAATACTAAATTAAGCATTTTCAGGGCCGTCAGGGTTTGGTGGCCGTCCGGGTTTGGTGGTCCCCAACCAGTATGGAGGAAACACTGTTGAAGGAAATTTTGGGTAACAACAACAGACAACTTGCAATCAAAAAGCTTTTTTTAGTAGTACTTGTGCACAGCTGAGCGAAATGCAATTTAATCAATCTCTGTATTTGAAAGAAAAACTGATGATTTATAAGCGAAATGAGTCAATATTTAATAATTTATGTCATTTTTTCCATTACGAAGTAATACTTACATGTGCTACTTTGACACCTGTACAGAACTTGATTTCTCCCTTTGGTTGTACCTGATGCAGCTTACTCAAAATTCTTCCTACATCAGCTGTGAGAGTGGTCAATACCTCTACACTGTAAAACATTTTATTATCAGCATTAATTCTATCACTTAGTGACTTATAACACATGATGGCTTTTAAACATTATCATATTTCAAATTATTTTAATCTTGGTGGAATACTATTATCTTTAAACATGTAATTTAATGAAATTGAGTGATTTTTTTTGTGTATTTTACGGCCGAATAAAGGCTGTTTCCCCTAGCCAAAAATAGGTATATTTTCCCCTAAAAATGCTAATATTTTCCCCTAAAATGCCCTGTGCACATTCTTCACCAGAACCATGACTTAAAAGCATCTGACTAATATCAGCTAGAAGATAAAGCTGTTCCTATAGATATCCTCTGCTATGTACCATGCATGTTAAAGTGAAATGAAATTGAAAATTTTATAAAATGTTGGGTAAATTACATTCTCAGTTGTTGGTATTTGATTTCCCCATTTTCTGATTTATTGCGCTATGTTTTCCCCTTCAGAAAGCCACAAGTTGTTTTGAAAATTGCAAAAAAAAATCACTGTGGTGAGAGTTCCAGTGACAAAGATATGATTTTTATATACACAATACAATTCAGAGCTAGAATAATGCCTTTCTTTCAAACAGCAAAAAAAAAATTCAATCTACTGTGAATACAGTCAGGGTTCGAATTTTAGCTTGCAAAATCATTCACCACTGTTGAAATTCATTATACATGACTGTATTCATCAAAATATAACAAATTTCTGCAGATGTGCATGGCATATAATATCTGAGGTGCTATCTTCTTTTGTTTTATGAAAATAACTTTCAAGACTTTCATGTGAATCTAACTTAATGAAGGAAGAAAAATCTTTTGTGGTAAGCGCTATTCGTGTTACAGCTATTTTCTTTGTTATAATATAAGTGGACACTGAATAACACATTGATTCGAAAACACTTTTAACAGTCCTTCACAATTTTAGACCAAAACTCAACACCCTGTTCAAATTAAAAAATCACATAACAATTATCATATCACCATATAAAGCAATGTAATGCCAATCTCAGTCACACCCCTAATCTCATGATAATAAGTACCTAATTTTATGTAAGTGAATAAGTTCTTACTTAGACATAACAATGAGTCCAACATTATTTTCAGGGTTGGATCTTGTTTTAGAATGACACACTAAGTTGACAGCATCTTGTTGAGCTTGTAAACGTGTTGGTAAGAAATCTCCATTACGCATATAATCACTGTTATCTACACTGAAAAGAAAGAAAAAAAGCTTCATAAATATTAACATAATTTAATACTCATCCCTGCAAACATGTCCATAAACCTCCCTCTCCCATATGAGTCACTCAAAGGTCACATTTAAACATCATGTCAAAATTAATGTTCTTTTGTTAATAGATAAATAAATGACAAAATCAGTTTCAATAATTTGCCTTTGATGGTCAAGGTAAATTAAAAGTCAAGGCCATATTAGTCTAGAATAATTCAACACATTTTAATATAAATAAATCTGTAAAAGAAATATGCCTGCAAGACATGTTATATATATGTTACAGTGTCAGGACACTGAATAATATGAATAAACAGTTATAACTATAAGAACTTTTTGTATTTAAAGACCTTTCTTATGGAGTGACACAATATAAATATCTCATTTTAGTCTGAAATGGAGCATAAAAGTTCAATAGGTTTTTATACTTATTATAAGTAAAAATTATTTTTATAGTCACAGTAATGTCACAGTTGCTTGTGGGGCTGTCATTGATAGAATTTTTTGTATCGGTATATCGAAGGGTATATATCTTTGATATACTGAAACAAATTTTAGATATGTAAACACACTGGAATAAATTATCCAAAATGTCTTTTTTTGTTTGTTATGCATGGTTTAAATAAACTGTACAACAAAACAAGATGAAACTTGAGTTCTCTTGTTATTTATAATCCCGAAAAAAATTTACGACTATAAGAATTATTTATAACTCGCGGGAACTGGACTCATCACAGACTAATGCTTTCTGTCAATATGTGACCTTAAATTTCTGGTAGTATTGCCTCTGTACAGTGATTTTTTTTCCAATTTTCAAAACAACCTGTGGCTTTCTGAAGGGGAAAGTATAGCGCGATAAATCAGAAAATGGGGAAACCTGAAATCAAATTCCATCAACTGCAAATTTATGGAATTTACCCATACATTTTATGGGGGAAAAAAATTAATTCAATTGGTACATAGCAGAGGCTATCTATATGGACAGATTTCTGTCTTCTAACTGATGCTGTTAAGTCATGGTTCTGGTAAGGAAGAGCACAAGGCATTGTAGGGGAAAATATATGCATTTTAGGGGAAAATATACCAATTTTGGGCTAGAGGAAACAACCTTTATTCGGCTGTAAAATACACTGAAAAAAATCATTGCTGTATGGTAAGGGTGTAACGGTTTACCGGTATACCGATATATTGCAATATGAAAAAATAAATTTCGTACCGCGGTACGATGTTTGGAAAACCGGTATTTTATAAAAATCATAATTTTCAATTAATTGCCTTCTAATTTTGTACAAATTTCACATAAAATCTTTAATTGGCGAATTTTGTTGGCGCCAACGTAAGATAAAAGTATTCGACAACTAGTACACTTAAAAATAATAAGCGGCCGCATAATTTACATAAGCGGCCCAGATGTGAAAGGTCACACGCGACTAGTTTTGTTTATCAAATTGTGTGACACTTTACTTTCAATTTATTCCTTACATTTTTATTAAGTTTCTACTAAAAATATAAACATATAATAAAAGTATATGAATGTTACTCCATCAAAACATATACACAACAGTACGTATTGCAATATATTGCAATACGCTTCAGCAAAATGGCAATATATTGCAATACGGTTTTTGCTGTATTGTTACACCCCTACAGCATAATTAGATGGCAAACTTTACAAACTACTTTTGACTCCAAATTTTCCCCATACATCGCTCTCTTTTTATTTAACCTTTTGAAACAAACTCGGCAATTTCTAGCATAGCCACCATGTTGCTGTGCAAATTATAAAGCCAGCTAAAAATACACATTCCCAACCACAAATCAAGCATTTATTGACAGAATTTTCATCTGATTGGTAAGGTTTTTTTTGTTGAAATTTATGGGTATATTTTTGGGAAATAAATCAACCAATCAGATGAGGGTTGTTTATATTCGTCCAGATGATGGTCAGTGATTTTTCTACTCATATAACAGACTCCGAAAAAAGGCCTCTTCCCAATTGAAATTTTCTTGATTTCATACAAGGTCTCGCGTAGCACCAAAATGTCATGGCCGACTACAGTCGTCCTAATTGATGTTTTACAGTTAGAAGGGCAATTTTAATGATGGTATTAATATTTTGATACCTTAAATGGTATTGAACAATATTAAAATAATTGACCTTTTCGAAAACCTTGCTAAACACCGTTTTCCGGTACTTTACGGATTTAGCTCTGGGGAATTACACCAAAAGAAGTACATAACACAGTTACATGATATTTCTATTTTTCTATCTTTATTCTACCGTTTAAGGTGAAAAAAATTGATGTATTTGAAAATTATCAATATTCCTTTAAAATCATTTACAAATTTTTCAAAAAATAAATTGTTTATATTGAAAATCAATAAAATTAAAACAGACGTAGTGGCATCTTCCATAATAAATAAGGATATTTTTGGTGTAAACTTGTGTATTTACTTTATTTTTTCTATGGAATTATTCATACAATGATATTTAATTATTTTCTTATAAAGAAATAACTGTTTTATTTCAATCTAATTTTAAAAAAGGCCGAAAACATCGAGTTCGCTATTACACTCCATTAGGTGAATTCCCCAGAGCTATGTACAGAAAGTACCGGAAAACGGCATTTAGCTAGGTTTTCGAATTCGTGAATTGTTTTATTGTAAAATGCACAAGAATTGATTAGGACAAGTGTATTTTTAAGAGAAAAATAAGGTTAAATCACATTTAAACCAACTTATGTTAATCTGGTTAGGTTTCGTAACGGGTCTAATCCAAAACTTTAATGCTGCATCAGATGAAAAACAAAAATGTTAAATAGCGGCTTATAAAGTTTTGGAAGCCAGACCTAGGCTATGTTATACTAGCTTAAGGTCTTCAGCGTACCCGTTTATATATATGACATGACGTGAACGTTATAAAGTTTTGGAAGCCAGAACTAATGTTTTACCAGACATTTATTTAGGTCACGAATCGATGGGAAGGCACGAATCACGAATCAGGCATATAATTATTATATATATCTAATATATAAACCTTATATACACTTCTGGTTCAAGGATCTAGCAATAAAATTATTGTCGTTGAGAAAAGTGTACCCCACCCACTGAGTTACAACAGTGAGATTTATGCTTCGTCACATCAGTGTTGTCAGTACTTTCACTTTACAGCAAAATATTTTGGGTTTAACGTTGTTTCTACAATCGAAACTCAATTTAAGTTAGTTAAACTAAGTACTAGTGACATGTAAATAGCATGGACACAGTACAGGACGTTAAAAAATATTTACCAAACTATTGTGCTCTCGAGAACCATCTTGAAACGGTGTTTACAATCGCAACTACTCGGCCCTTTCCGTGCGGATAATTATAGATAATAGCCGAGGCAGTTCCGAATGTAATTGAAGCCACTTCGAATGGCCAGGGTGGATTTCATGGATATAGTAACTATTGTGTATTTAAATGACTGGTTGTCTTTAATGTGCATTTTTAGCATGAAACTTGTTTTTGTGACATGTAATATGGTCATTGGCAAATTCGAAAACATGGTTTGAAATCACATGCTGTTAATTATAAGCCCATTGCACAAGCAACCAATATTTATATTCATTATATAGCCTATACAGTATAGCTAGGCCTAGGAGCAGAATTTTTAAATTCTAATAGATCTAACTTTATTATTGGTGGATCGATTTTTTAGATTCTTATATCATTTGAAAGTTCTTTATTTTCGTACTTTTGAAATATAAGCAGATTTTCATTTTTTTGCTTTAAAAAAAGAAAACTCAGTAGTATTTCAATAGTTTTCTAGCACCAAGTTAACTTTTTACCAAGAAAAAATGAAAACGTTTTGTTAATTCATTTTTAATGTAAAATATGAGTAAAATGACTTTTCTTATGATATAAAATACTAAGCTGTTACATAAAAAATAAGTATGCAGACGGTTCTCGCGCTAAATTTGTCTGACATGATGAGAATATTAATTAATTAAGGTGTACATAGCCCACATTTTTTTTCAAGTAAGAATATAACCAGGAATAAAGTTGCTGAAAATTTATTAACAATTTACCAATAACTTAAAAATTGATAAAAATTCGATCTAATAAAGTTTGAATATGGATTTTATCATCGCAAATTTATTATTGAACAGTATTTTATGAAATTTAATTGTGAAACAAGAATAATCAAGAAAACACTGTTTCAAATGTTTTAGATGAATATGTTTATCTGTCCGGAGAATTTCCATGCAAAATGAAGTTGATCTTTGCCGATAATACAACATGAACGTATAGATACCGGGCTTTGGAGTAATAATCTAATGAGTTTTTAAATATCTACGATTGATTGACCGTTAGAAAAACACAATATACTCGTATAATCCTACCAGACGTTAAACACAAATCACAATTTCCATGAATTTATCAAACATACAAATGTATTTCGTGTATGATGTGATTTAAATTTAATTGCACACCGTATATATTTACCGCACAACATACATGTATGGTCAACACATTCAATACACAGAATTTTTCCGTTAGGAAAGTGGTACAAAATAGCAAAACGATTTGGAATACAGGGTGCAGAGCCCGGTACTTGGATGGGTGACCGCCTGGGAATACCGGGTGCAGTAGACTTTTGATTTTTTTTTCATTTTCATTTTTTTTTTTCCCGTGTTAGATGAAGTTTTATGATTTTCTATCCGGCATATTACTGTATGTGAGCGATAAATGCCCGAAAAAATAGAAGAAAACAAGAAATATTCGCGGACAGAGATAATACAGGCGGTGAAGTGTGTGTATTTGTTACTTTTTGTTGCATTTTTGTTAAGTAAAACTTATTGAGGAAACATTTCTCCCAGCTAGTATACAACCGGAACAAGCTATGTACATGTTGCGAAACTTTGACTATTTCTAGGCACGAAGTGGACGGAACGAGGCACGGGATATGATGCTGGCACAAGCCTTATTGTATAATAACGTCAACGTGTACAGGAAATGACGTAAAAGACGTAACGTCAGTAGCATCAGCTCCATGGTGGTCACGTCGCCGCTTCCACTATAAGAGCAGCCTGTCATTACGAAATAAGGTAAGAAAAGGCGATTTGAATCACAACAAGCTCATAAAAATGTCGGTTCAACGTACTGAATATGTTTTCCGTACGTCGGATGGTAGCTCGAATTCGGAATTCAGTTAAAAAAGGAGCGGGGGATGACCGTTATTGTAGCGGTCATATATTAGTTTTAAAAATACATAGAGCCTATGACTGGCGATTCTTTTTACTGCTTTTGGGCGTTTGGCTCGTGGTGTGAGAATTGCACACAGGGGCGGAGTATATCTGAACTGCTAACCGGGAGACTGTTGTAATTTAGTGGAATAAAATGTTTCATTGTCGGAGTTGAGGCATACTTACCTGGTACAGAGGCTACCGTGATCAGCCAGGCGGTGCCTCCAGGAAGAGACCCTTCCATTGCACTTCGGTTGGGTTGAAGCCTGCGATTACCCCTAATGTGGGTAACTCGGGTACGCAATTTATTTGTGTGGGGGTCTGCGTTCGCGCTAACCCCTGTCTAATTGAAACATTAAATCAAGCTCGCGGAATTAAAGGCTCATTATACCTTAGAAATGCTAGCAATTTTATTTCTCAAAATCATCTAATGTTTGCTATCTCGTTACAGTTTTCAAAGTATTGAATGAAAAAGTAGATTCTATTGATCTTTGGCGGCAAACTGTGCCTTTAAAAAAGTAAATTTTTTTTTCTCAAACAAATGCTATCGGTACTGCACTGGCACACCGTAACAGTGATTATTCGACCGTTGTCAGGGACAGACAGACGTACGGAATCGTATGTGAGTTGGTCTATTGCTCGTGTGTACGGGTGTACATTTATGTGGAATATCTTGATATTTACTAATGCATGGTGAGAAAAGTATGCACTGTATATATGTAAATGCGAATTTTGTCTTTGCCGGGAAATAATTCTACAATAATAAGGGATAGTTCCATATATGAGCATAAAGGATAGTACTGTATAAATGTTTGAATATGTCCGACTATTATTATTTTAAAAGGCAAACCGGAAGTACATCATAGTATCAGCGAAATTCTCGTATATAAGCCGTAAAGAATTACATTCTAATGTCTACGGCCATATCACGTTGAAAACACCGGTTCTCGTCCGATCACCGAAGTTAAGCAACGTCGAGCCCGGTTAGTACTTGGATGGGTGACCGCCTGGGAATACCGGGTGCAGTAGACTTTTGATTTTTTTTTCATTTTCATTTTTTTTTTCCCGTGTTAGATGAAGTTTTATGATTTTCTATCCGGCATATTACTGTATGTGAGCGATAAATGCCCGAAAAAATAGAAGAAAACAAGAAATATTCGCGGACAGAGATAATACAGGCGGTGAAGTGTGTGTATTTGTTACTTTTTGTTGCATTTTTGTTAAGTAAAACTTATTGAGGAAACATTTCTCCCAGCTAGTATACAATCGGAACAAGCTATGTACATGTTGCGAAACTTTGACTATTTCTAGGCACGAAGTGGACGGAACGAGGCACGGGATATGATGCTGGCACAAGCCTTATTATATAATAACGTCAACGTGTACAGGAAATGACGTAAAAGACGTAACGTCAGTAGCATCAGCTCCATGGTGGTCACGTCGCCGCTTCCACTATAAGAGCAGCCTGTCATTACGAAATAAGGTAAGAAAAGGCGATTTGAATCACAACAAGCTCATAAAAATGTCGGTTCAACGTACTGAATATGTTTTCCGTACGTTGGATGGTAGCTCGAATTCGGAATTCAGTTAAAAAAGGAGCGGGGGATGACCGTTATTGTAGCGGTCATATATTAGTTTTAAAAATACATAGAGCCTATGACTGGCGATTCTTTTTACTGCTTTTGGACGTTTGGCTCGTGGTGTGAGAATTGCACACAGGGGCGGAGTATATCTGAACTGCTAACCGGGAGACTGTTGTAATTTAGTGGAATAAAATGTTTCATTGTCGGAGTTGAGGCATACTTACCTGGTACAGAGGCTACCGTGATCAGCCAGGCGGTGCCTCCAGGAAGAGACCCTTCCATTGCACTTCGGTTGGGTTGAAGCCTGCGATTACCCCTAATGTGGGTAACTCGGGTACGCAATTTATTTGTGTGGGGGTCTGCGTTCGCGCTAACCCCTGTCTAATTGAAACATTAAATCAAGCTCGCGGAATTAAAGGCTCATTATACCTTAGAAATGCTAGCAATTTTATTTCTCAAAATCTTCTAATGTTTGCTATCTCGTTACAGTTTTCAAAGTATTGAATGAAAAAGTAGATTCTATTGATCTTTGGCGGCAAACTGTGCCTTTAAAAAAAGATTTTTTTTTCTCAAACAAATGCTATCGGTACTGCACTGGCACACCGTAACAGTGATTATTCGACCGTTGTCAGGGACAGACAGACGTACGGAATCGTATGTGAGTTGGTCTATTGCTCGTGTGTACGGGTGTACATTTATGTGGAATATCTTGATATTTACTAATGCATGGTGAGAAAAGTATGCACTGTATATATGTAGATGCGAATTTTGTCTTTGCCGGGAAATAATTCTACAATAATAAGGGATAGTTCCATATGTGAGCATAAAGGATAGTACTGTATAAATGTTTGGATATGTCCGACTTTTATTATTTAAAAAGGCAAACCGGAAGTACATCATAGTATCAGCGAAATTCTCGTATATAAGCCGTAAAGAATTACATTCTAATGTCTACGGCCATATCACGTTGAAAACACCGGTTCTCGTCCGATCACCGAAGTTAAGCAACGTCGAGCCCGGTTAGTACTTGGATGGGTG